TTGGCCTGGAAAAAAAATATATATTAAAAGCACAATCTCTAATATGGAAGGAACCAAATGTGCTTTAGAAAATAACAAAACTGAACATATCTGGGTTACTTCAAGATGAATATTATCAGTAAGAATTAAGTTTGGGACAGAGTCACAAAGTCTTTGGTCTTCTTATTTGATTTGTTGATAATTAAAAAAACTCAGCATGTGTTATCTGCACTAATCATAAAGAGATGAAAAGTGTCATAAGAAGTGACTCCCTGAGGTCTTACATCATTCAGCATGTACAGGATGCTGCCATCTCGGGCTCGGTCCACAGCCTGGTTGGTGGGGACGAACACAGTGAGGGGTCCTGGCCCCCGCAACGGTGGCGGCGCCCCACAGTTCTGCAGAAAAACACATATCTGATTAACAAATGAGGATTTAGCACAGATTTCCTTTAAGCCTCAGTGCCAGACAGAATACAGAATTAAACACTTGCAAAGCCATGCCTCCCTGAGTTCAAGTCAGAGAAGTTTCATTTAAATTGTTATATAAATGTTTTGGGGGGGAAACCCTTGATTTCACACAAACAAAACAAGTTGTTTTTACAGGCATTTACCATCATTTTATGGAAATACAAAAATAGATGCTTGGAGATTCAAACTAAGAGGTGGGCTGATTTGAAACAAAAACCTTATTACAGTGGTTCAATATGCTTATGTTATAGAATATGTATGTGCATCATACAGCCCAAAAGTCTGAAGCTGAAAATGTCTAACTAAATGATCTGAATTCTCATCAGTTTATAGTCTGTGTAGAATACATTACATAATATAAATTGTAGTGCACTGCTCAATAGCCAGTGTTAGATATGCTACACATAAAAAAATTGATGTGTTATTTTAAAATTGCGTTTCTTAAAGTGGGGAAGCTGTGTAAACATAACAAATTTGAAAATAATTTAATCCACACATTTAAGGAGCGCACGGACAACATGTCAAATGATGAAATGATCTTTTTTTTTTTTACTTAAATGCGCCTTTAAATTAAGGAATCGCCAAAGTGCAATAAAAAAAATAGAATCTGGGGACTTCACAGAATCCTTTTTAGCGAGGTCATGCATTCTTCAGCAGGAATGCCAGACCAGATTCTGCAGGTAGTTACAGCATGGCTCTGTAATAAAAGACCTATCACTCACTTACACAATGATATCTGACACCTCATGAAATTAAAAATATCTTCCACAAAATGAGGAACGCTTGAGGGAAGTTGACATTTACATCAAATGTGATGCTATGAGTTAAGCCAGAGCTGCTGGAGTAGAAGTTAAAAAAGAATGAAGCTGGTGGTATTAGGCTGCACTGTAAATTGGGTTTAAATGAAATTAAACCTCTTATAAACAGTGTCATAAGGACTTCCACTACTAATCTTTCTGTGACCTTGGTGTTTTTTTTAAAGAATGAGGAAAAGAAGTGTCATAACTGTGGTGTGGAGGACCTAATGTAAACAAAAAGAACAACCTGAAATGAACAAAAAAAACATAAAGAGATCATCTAAAACAAAAGCAAAAGGACCCTCTCCAAGTAAATGAAACACAGGACTATATAAACAGAAAACTGACTACTAATGAGAAATACCGTTTACAACAGGTGGAAGCAATCAAAGTCAAGGTCAAGGTCAGCTTTATTTATAAAGCACATCTCCAAACAGTCCATGCTGCACAAAGTGCTTAACAATGTAAAATGCCACTAAAATAAATAAAATGCAAAAACAATGATGCAGTAAAATATAGAAAAAACAAATAAGCAGATGAAATACATCATAAAAACAACTCAAACAACAATAACAACTAAGGGTGTTAAAACCAAAATGTTTAGGTCAAAGTGTGTTTAATGCCAGACCATAAAATTGTGTCTTCAGTAGCGATTTAAAATGTTCAAGTGTTTGTGCAGATCTTGATGCAGACTCATTCATCCAGGTAAGTAAATCTCTAAAAGTTGATTCTGTTCATCTGGACGTAGAATTTTGTGGGAGAAACGTTTCGTCACTCATCCGAGTGACTTCTTCAGTCTCAGCTGACTGCAGGTTTCTCCAATCTTATAAACAGTACATTTGCATAATGACCTCCCAGCCCACTGAAGGAACAATGGGCTGGGAGGTCAGTTTCTTCATCATAATTAAGCAAATTCTAATGACCATTGATCAACAACCACTGATCAAAGCCCACTGATCAATGGCCATGAGTACCATTCACAGAGAGTTGTGGAATGGCTGCAATCACAGCATTTTAAGATGTACCCTTAGGCCCCCTCCTCGATTCAGAGATGGTCTTTCTACAGTCAGCTGAGACTGAAGAAGTCACTTGGAAGAGTGACAAAACGTATCTCCCACTGAAAACGCTACGTCCAGGTGAACAGAATCAACTTTTGGAGATGTTTGTGCATATCTAATATTAAGAGGAAGACTATTCCAAAGCCTGTGACCTGCCACAGGTCTGAAGGCTCAGTGTGATTATTAATGAAGTTACCAAAAATGACAATGTATGTTTTGTTTTCGTTTAATTAAAATTTTTTAAAGACATCCACTATTTAGAGTCATCAAGACAGCGTAATAATAGCTGAAGTCAGTCTGACCCTGCTTTTAAAGGCAGATAGATCTGCAAGTCATCAGCAAAACAGTGAAATGAAAGATTGTAGCGTGAGAAAATAGACCCCAGTGGCAACATATACAGTGCAAACAAGGCAGGACCCAAAAGAGAGCCTTGAGGTACACTATAATTAAGAGGGGCTATTTATGTTGTCATAAAAAGTCCTTCCAGAAAGATAAACCAAAACCACTGGAGGGCAGACTCTTTTAGGCCAGCATGTGATTTCAGCCTTGATAGCAGGATATCATGGTATCAGCCGTGTCAAAGGCTGCTGTCCAACAACAAGAGTGCAGCAGGGCTGCCAGAGTCCAGAGTTAAACGAATGTCATTAAAAACCCTTAAAGGGGAATTAAGGGCAGAGAGGAAGGAAAAGAAAAAAATTCACACAGTGAAAAAAGAAACAAAAGCACTCTGAGAGTGCAGCTCACTAGTATTTACTTTAGGGTAGTATGGCAGATGTTTACTTTAAATACATAAACAGCTCAAAGAAACACATCAAAAACTTGCAGACCATGTGTATACATGCTCACTCTGTTAATATTTCCACCCGGAAATCCAAAGAAATTAGAACTTATCCCCACAACAGGCATAAAATAAAACGATTTGGCATTAAATGTGGCACAATTGTGAATAAACTCCCAGCAAATCCAGTTTGTATGATACATTTAAGTGGTTTAAAATGTTTAAATTGTAAGTGTTATTTGTTTTATTGTAGTAAAACAATTTCAGCATGCGGTCAAATAAAGGAAGGAGACACGTGAGGGTGCATAGTCACACAAATACTTACATCAACCAAAGACAGGAAGCGGTTGTACTTGTCGTCCTTAGTCAGAATCTCTCCAACTGTCAAATCAGCAAACTTAACACAAGAAGAAGAAGACATTAAGTTTCATATTGTGCTGTACTGTAAAGGAAAAAAATAACTGCAGTGTTTTAATGTTTTTCACTCAGCTGTTGTTTAAGCTTTTTTCTGTTTCTTTTTTTTGGTGTTTTCAGGGAGTTTTACATCATTTGTGTATTTACTTACCTGTTCATCACGAGGGGAGGAGTCAGTGGGTGTGATGGGCTGGTCTATGATGTGAATGATCCCATTGGATGCTGGCAGGTCTTGCTGGATGACAGAGTACAGTTTTCTGGGGTTGTCCAGCAAGATGAACCTCTAAAACAAGAGTAAGACAACCAAAAAAAAAAGACTTTCTTTAAAGAACCTGTGCATGTTATGAAACAAGAATCAAGGTTCAAGCAGGTTTACATGGACTACACATTTATCCCTCAACAAACATACAACATCCCATATTTTTAAAAAGTTAACACTTTTTTCACAGCTTCATCTGTCATTGTAGCACAAAGGATGCTAAATGTAGCCAGCATAAAGCATTAAAAATACATTCTGGTAAACTGTTTCCACCAGTCACATCCTGTACACATTACAGGAAGCCTTTAAGATTGGTGCAACAATGACACAATTACTAGTATTGTTGGGGGGGGGACATGACAACAGTGGTGGACAACATGACCGTTTTTGCATGTGTGCTCACTGTGAAACAAAGCTGGGAGAATGTGTGCAAAAAAGAAACCTATTGTAAGAATTAGCCCAATTATCTGGTGTTTCTTTTGTGTGTAAAGCTTCATACTGCAACGGCAGTGAAAATGAGGCTGTACAGCCTGAACACAGGTGGAGTGAAAGAAACACTGTTCTAGACTTGACAGCTGCAACTCTTTACTGCTGTAATCAGAAAGAAACCCTTTGCAGGTTAAAAGCCAATGAGATCCCATTATCAGATCACTGGCTCAACAGACTTAAACACTGAGAAAATTAGTCTGTTCACCTGCGTCTATCCACTTCTGTCTGGAGTTACAAAGATGCTTAATAAAGAAAAATTGACAAGATAAACTGGTAGCTTAGTTTGTCAATCTTTAAATTGACAGATTTATTGTGTATGTTGCTTCAGACTGATAGCAGCCCACTCATAAACAAGAGTCCAGTAAAGCTTTGACCTGTGGATCTAGGGGGCCTGTGATGGGGGAAAAAACAGGCGTGAGTACTGTTAAAGCACTTTGTAAATTGGAGGAAATCGATTCTCAAGGTTTAGTGTTTTTTCCCAGAGTTACAGATGTAAAAATGAGCGACTCTAACCTTGCATCATTATAAATTGAATGAATGAAGGAATGAGACCTTTACTTGACTCTTAGGATACTTTGTGCACCTTTAAGAGCATTGCAACCTTTGGCACACTTTCCAAGGACAGACAGCCCAGACGTGCAGATAAAGCAGGAGCCCTGAGCTCTTCTGTATCTGACTGCCAGAGATAAGTGCTCGTGTTATATGCTGCAGAACTGGTGATCTGTGACAGAACTGTCTCTGAATCTATTTTGTGACTCCTGACTAGTTATCATTTAATTCACCATGTTAACGATCTGTTCTGATACCATACATGAAATACTGTTGAGCAAACATACAACTAGTGTTATAGACACGCATGACATGTCTTGAGAAAGCTCCGCCCACTGTGTGAAGCACGCAGTCAAGCAGGAAATGCAGCTTATTGTTTTTGTCTTCCTGAAAGGAGAAACAGAGACAGACGGTAAGGATTCTAATCACACCGTAAAATATCACTTCCAACTAATGAAGACAGCTCCGTGAGGGAACACTGTGAACACTGGGATAACTGGAAAATAGGAATACTTGCAATTCCTGTCAACTGCTGCAGTTTGCTCTGCTTTATGATCTGAAAGAGCTGCGACAGAAAGTGAAAGCAACTGTCAGAGAATCTTCCGGACTGACTGACTTCACTTTTATTTTTTGCTGTGTTTTCAGCTTCATTCACAGGCAAAATGTCGCTCAGATCAGAAGAGGATTTCTTATGTCCTGTCTGCCATGAAGTCTTCACAGACCCTGTTGTTCTGTCATGCAGCCACAGCTTCTGCAAAGACTGCCTCCAAAAATGGTGGAGTGGGAAGAAAACATGCGATTGTCCGTGCTGCAAGAGAAGATCCTCAAAGAGTGATCCCCCTCGTAATTTGGCATTAAAGAACCTGTGCGAGGCCTTTTTAGCGGAGAGAGGCGAGAGAGGCGAGAGAGGCCGAAGAGTTTCAGAAGGGTCCGAGTCACTCTGCAGTCTGCACTCTGAGAAATTCAAAATCTTCTGTCTGGACCACCAGCAGCCAATATGTGTGATCTGTCGAGACTCGAAAATGCATAGCAACCACAGATTCAGACCCATCGATGAGGCTGCACAGGATCTTAAAGAGGAGCTCCAGAAATCCCTGAAGCCCTTAAAGGAGAAACTGCAGGTCTTTGAAGATGTTAAAGGAAGCTATGATCAAATAGTGAAACACATCAAAGTCCAAGCCCAAAGCACAGAGAGGGAGATTAAGGAGCAGTTTAAGAATCTTCACCAGTTTTTGCACGATGAAGAGAAGGTGAGGATTGCTAACCTGAAGGAGGATGAGGTGCAGAAGTCTAAGATAATGAAGGAGAAGGTTGAGAGTCTGAGCAGAGAAATAGCAGCTCTTTCTAGCACAATCAGAGCCACAGAGAGGGAGCTCAAAGCTGAAGACATCTCATTCCTGCAAAACTACAAGGCTGCAGTTAAAAAAGCCCAGCAGCACCCCCTGCTGCAAGATCCAGAGCTGGCTTCAGGAGTGCTCATAGATGTGGCCAAACACCTGGGCAACCTGACCTTCAACGTCTGGAACAAAATGAAAGAGAAGGTCTTCTACAGTCCTGTGATTCTTGATCCAAACACTGCCGACCCAGAACTTGTTGTATTCGATAATCTGAGCAGCGTGAAATCAGGAGAGCGGAAACCACTTCCCAAAAACCCGGAGAGAACCAAGTTCTCCTGCTCTGTTCTCGGCTCTAAAGGCTTCAACTCAGGGACACATCAGTGGGATGTTGATGTTGGAAACAACAAGGACTGGGAACTGGGCGTGTTGAGCGAGTACTCCCAGGTCAGTGGGCGTCTTCAGTCAGGACTGTGGAGAATTTTGTTCTCTAATGGTAAATTCTCAGCATTTTCATCACCAGACACTGAGAAGGATCTACCAGTGAAGAAGGAAGTGCGGAGGATCAGAGTCCATCTGGACTTTGACAGAGGAAAGTTGTCGTTCTCTGATCTCGACACTAATGCCCACATGCACACCTTCACACACAGCTTCTCTGACACCCTGTTTCCTTACATTTACACTGAGAATCCTCAGCCAGTGAAGATTTTACCAGTGAAGGTCACTGTGACAGTGGAAAAGAACACTTAGAGTGATGCATATCATCATAAAGTTGGGAAATATGACAAAACTGTGAGACAAAATGTTAATTGTTTAGGAACGTAGAGCAACTTTAATATTAACGGCGCAAATATTAGACAAGTGTACAAGCTGGTGAATATAAAAGACTGCTGCAATGGTGATGAAGTACTCTCATATATTTATTGGTTTTATTTGTACCTCAATATACATAAAATCAAAAGCTACTCGATAGTCTACAATGGAACATTTAGGTCAGGATTTATGGTTGTTTTGTAGAAATATGGTCTCATTTCTATTTCGCCTAAGTTGCCCTGTTATAGTTCGTTGTTCATTAGATTCCCCTTTTGTCTTCAACCCTGTGTCTCATGTTTACGTCTTTCAGTGTTTCCTGTTTTATTTTGAAGAGTCAGCTGTCTCCATGTTCAATGTGTTTTGTTTTACTTCCCCTGTGGTGTCATTATGTTCCTTTGTGTCAGCTGTTTCCCCACTTCCCTCATTAGCCTCCTCTGTGCCTTCATTCAGTCTTTGTCGGGTTGTCTGTGTTACTTTCACGATGTCATGTCACGCCAAGGTATTTCATGATTCAGCTCAGGTCATGCTCACGTTCCATGTTCCTGTTTTTTCCTCGCTTTTTGCATGCTCCTGCCCTGAATCATGTTCATGTCTTTCGTTGCAGTTGTCGTAGTTTAGTTTCTTCCAGTTTAGGTTTTAGTTTAGTTTTCGTTCCTGTTCACTTTACCGCAGGCTTGGCCAACTCCAGGCCTCGAGGGCCGGTGTCCCTCAGGTTTTAGATGTCATCCTGGGTCTGCACACCTGAATCAAATGATTAGTTCATAACCAGGCCTCTGGAGAGCATGTTGAGGAGGTCATTTAGCCATTTAAATCAGCTGTCTTGGATCAAGGACACATCTAAAACCTGTAGGACACCAGCCCTTAAGGCCTGGGTTTGGACACCGCTGCTTTTCTGTGTTTTTTGTACTCATGTACATGTTACTCATGCTCGCTTTTTTATTATTCGAGTTACCTTTTTACGCTCCATTTTTTGATCTGCATTTGGGTCCAGTATTCACTCTACACCAGGGGTAGGCAACTCCAGGCCTCGAGTGCCGGTGTCCTGGAGGTTTTAGATGCGTCCATGATCCATCACAGCTGATTTAAAGGGCTAAATGACTCCTCAGCATGTCTTGAAGTTCTCCAGAAGCCTGGTAATGAACTAATCATTTGATTCAGGTGTGTTAACCCAGGGTGGGATCTAAAACCTGCAGGACACCGGCACTCGAGGCCTGGAGTTGCCTACCCCTGCTCTACACACTGTCACCTCCCGCTGCCTGTGACAGAAACGTGTGGGGTATTTTTCTGGCTACTTCATGAACAAGAATGTCTAAGATGCTTGAGTATATGAAATACAGTCCTCAAAATAATGTTTCACAATGCTCGTGACTTCACTTTGGCCTTGGGAAAGAAACTTAAAATGTGAAGGGAAAACCCTGAGTTACAGCGTTACACAATGCTTTTATTTTTAAATTCACAATGTTTTTAAATGTTTGTGTTTAAATCCACAACCTTGCTGTCACTTCACAGCAAGGTTTCTGGGTTTGAACCAGCTGGTTGGTTGAGAACTTTCTATGTGGAGTTGTCATGTTCTCGTTTCCCTGTGTGGGTTTTCTCTTTGTGCCCAGCCAGCCCAAAGACATGCTCATGAGATTAACCTTTTAAATTTGTCTGAGGTGTGTGGGAGTGTGTGTTTGTCTGCTTCATAAGTACTAGAACACAGAAGACAGAACTTCTGGTTCTGTAGTGCTCTCTGGACAGCAAATATTTATTTCTGCCTTATAAATGTTCATCTAATTTATGGAACCATTAATGTTGTCTTCACAACAGTCTCATGGAAACGGGTCATGGTAACCAGTCTGCTGTTCTTGTAACCACATAATCTGTTTATATAGTTATTTAACACCATTACTCAGACGTTGAATAATTAAGAGACACAAAATGAGAGAATTATTGGAAAAAAAGAACGTGTCACATAATTCTGAAGATAATATCCTTATACATCTCACCTAACATAATTTCTGTCAAATAATTTCTGCTGTGATTTAATGATGTGTTACTTAACAGACTGTTTGGTTTGGTTTAACAAGACGTTTAATAATGAAAAAAATCTAATAAACTGTGTGGGTTGTGATTTGAAGATATATGAATTGTATATAACTGAGTGTAATGGACACACTCAGTTGGTAAATAAAACTAATTTCATTCAATAACCAGTCTCCATCACCAGCGAGTTATGCCAGCATGTTACGATAGAGAATTGTTGAAGCGGCGGGTGACAGAAGACGATGATGATAACACTGTTAGAAGTGCTGATTTTAAACACAATGGTGTGTGATGGTTTTGTAGATACTATCACACTATCTTGAGTCTGTGTGATGAAAACCGCTGATAGAGGTAGTGAAGAGTTGCATCACTTAAATGTTTGTGTAATATTAACCACATGGATGCAAACAAAACTAATGCAAGGGGAAATGATTTTCTGTAGCATGCACTTTGCTTTGTTCCAGTTCTTTGTCATATTGCTTTTTCTAATTGTGGCAAGAATAAAAATCATGCTGAAAGAACTTTTTTGTTTCTGGTGTATCCTTGTAACCAACTTTAACTTACTAATGTAGACTGGACATTGGCAGTCTGGTGGTTGTGCTGTGTCCCAGAGAAGAGAGCCGGGGGCTCTTATGTGTGAAATCTGCATTAAACTTCAGTTAAATAAAGAATATGCTGGGCTCCTGTCTTGACCCATGAAAGAGATTCTTAATAGTTTCACTTTGTAGTTGAAGTGAAAATCACACCTACTTCAAATCACTGGAATTGTGTGTCAAAGTCTGTACTCCTGCTTAGTTATATTATACGGACAGAAATTTGAGCACTGCAACATCACTCCACTTGTCCCAATTTAAAGAAAAAATCTCATTAATGGATATAAAATAGTTTCAACAGAAAATCTGCAGGACTTTAATGTCTATGTGATTATGAGAGCAACAGAAAAAAACAGAAAAACTTAATTTGGGTGCATTTTGGGTAAACTTTCAAAGGTCACATCACCAGGTGATGTCAAACCTTCAAAAATAATTTTCTGATATAGTGTGGGTTTGTGCAAGGTGGGAGGCAATGATTGATTTTTAGGAAAAAGTCTTGTCGTGACTGTTGAGTTTCCAGACAACAGCACGCTGGACCTGAACTAAAAGCTCCAGGAAATTTTGACCTTATGTTTGTGAATAACAGTGGCTGCTTCCTTGGCTTTGACAAATGTCTCCACCAAAAATAATTTCCAAAGGCAAGAACCAGGCTTACACCTTTCATTTTTTCTTTACTATCTAGCTTGAACAGCAGCTGGAGTCTGGAGAAGCAGTGTTACCTTGTTTTCTTTGGTCCTCAGCTTGGATCCTCCGTACAGGTTGAAGTCTCGACCAGTCAGATCCCTGTAGAGGTACTGACCCAGGATCAGGTGGTTTTTACATACTGTCTCCTGATTTAAGTCCTGCAGAGATATTTTGGTTTAGAAGACCAGGTTTTTGTATTTATCGATCAGTTAGTTTCTAATTATTAGGTATGCTAGATGTAATTTGAGATCATGTGAGTCTGTGAGCAGCCTCTGAGTGAGTCTCAGAAGGGGAGCCTGATAGATGAAGGCTCTACCTCCCATTCTACTTTTGGAAACTCAACAACAAGTAAGCCCGCAGTCTCAGAGAAAAGTGCTCTACTGGGATAATATGGTACTGAGGTCCTTAATATATGAAAGGGCCTGATAATTTGTAACTGTGTGTGAGGAAAAGGATTTATACTGCATTTATCACTGAGTCAATGAAGAGATGCTAACATGGCAGAAATTTAATCTCTTCTTAGAAGTAATAAATGCATGAACTATTTTTTTTCCTAATTTTGCACAGATCTAAGAAGGCAGCACCAGAGATTTGTTTAAGTTGCGGATTAAGCTTTTCAAATCTATGGCTTCATCCCTCAGGAGCTTCCTGTGCTGGAGGAGATCATTAAAATAAAATTCAGACAAGCAGGTGACCTACAGGCAGAGGTGATTTCAGCAGGGGAATGAAAGCTGTGAAGGGTCCGTTATGATTCAGCAGACGTGGACAGCCTGCCTCTGAAACACACACACACACACACACACCCCAAAGGTCAAAGGAAAGGTGCGGTAAAAGAATAGCAACACCAAAGAACGTACAAAAAACAGCATGTCTCATATAAATTACCTTGCAGGATAATCGGGACACAGACTCATGTTTTTATTATTTTTAAAAAAAGCTGATATCACCACCACGCCTCACTTTAAGTCATATCCTGTCAGTTAGCTTGAAACACTCTGAGGTGATGATCTCTTGTTTTAACAGGAAACCCCGCCATAGTTCAATAAAGTACTGCGGGTATTTCTCAGAGCGTATTTTTGCTGGTTAGTTTTACCAAACATGGAAATGGCTCCAGTAAAGTTTCCTCTCCAGCTGCCGCTCCGGTCCAGCTCCATGGCGCGCTCCATCAGGTTACCATAACAACGCCGACCATCACTGATCTGATCCACTTCACAAACACATCTGAGAGAAGGGGGCAGGAAGAGAGCGCCACTTTAGCCAACTGACGCAACTGACACTGTGACCTGACCTATCTGATCTTTCCAGGTTTTCCCATCGTTACTTTTAGGAAGCGAATCATTCTCAGTGAAAGTAACGCTCCAGTTTAAAATCACATCTAATCAAGTTCAGCACACATGATCGAGATGCTTTGTGTTTGCCCATTTGACGGATTTTAACTCAAGACTCAAAGCAGTGTTTCGGACAGCTTTATCTTTATCTTTATATAAACACGGACCTACTAAATTTGTATTTCTTTTGTCTTTATGTTAAATATTCATATTAAACATAACCACAATTTCAAATAAAGAGGTCAGTGTGTAGACAAGTAATCCTTATCAGCTAAATGTTCAGTTTCAGGTTGTTTTTTTCTGAGAGGGTTTTGGTCATTTATTTGGTCATCTCAGGCACACACCTCCGGCTCAGCGCAGAAGCCCAGCGCACTTGTTGTTTAAACTAGAGATGGCACGATACCACTTTTTTATGTCCGATACCGATACTGATATCATAAATTTGGATATCTGCCGATACCGATATGAATCCGATATAGTGTGTTTTAATCAATAAAACTGTTTTTTTATATCTTGCTGCATTTTGTATAAGTTCATACTCAAGTTTAAATAAACAACAACACAAAAGCTATTCTGTTATACCTGTATGTAAAAAATACACTGCACCCAAAATATTTCATAGTTCAGCAAAACTGATCAATCTAATAAACTTAAACCTACTCCATTCTTCCTATTCTGGTATTTTAAAGTGTACTTAGCAGAAATATTAAGCAACCTAACTAATAGGGTTGCAAATTCCCAGCAAAAAAAAAATAGGGAACCACCCCCCACCTCATGATTCTTAATCGACGTAATCAACTTTAATTTGATGCAGGTTGGAAAAAAATTGCACAGAAATAAATTATTTTTCAAGAATAATTAAATAGATTCAACATCTTTCTTCAACAGAACTGCAGACTATAAATAAATAAATTCTAACAACAGCTTATCAAGGTTAAACCTGCTGCTGTTGTTCACCCGCTAATTTCCTCTTTCTGGCGCAAAGTAGGCCAAAAACAAAGAAGAGAGACGGACTCGCGACAGAAAAGCCGATCAGCTGATCACTAAGCAATTTCACAACTGAAGTACCAGCAGGAGAGGGAGGGAGAGAGAAGAGGCAGTCGCTCCATATATCGGTTGTTAAGCTTAACGTGGGAATGCTTTACAAA